ATGTGGGCATTGAACCAGAAGCCCTGTTGCTCGGAGCTCCCTTAAGCTAACTCTTAACCAACTGAGCCACTCGGTCGGCCCTTTAGCTAATTTTTTTAAACATTTTTTTTCCTCCACAGAAAGTTCTCACATTTCCAAGGTCACTCCTCAGAAACCCACCACAGTAAATGTTCCAGGTACCAAAGTCCTATCAACTCTTCAGAAACCCAGCACAGTAAATATTCCAGGTACCGAAGCCCTATCAACTCCTCAGAAACCCGCCACAGTAAAAATTCCAGCTACAGAAGTCCCATCAACTCCTCAGAAACCCATCACAGTAAATGCTTCTGCTGCAAAGGCCCCACTAATTCATCAGAAACCCACCACTGTAAATGTTGCAGCTGCAGAAGCTCCATCAACTCCTTGGAAAACCATCACAGCAAATGATTCAGCCACAATAGCCAAAACATCCCCTGTATCAAATGTTTTATCTACAGAGACCCCACCAGCATCCCAGACTCATGTCACTGCAAATATTTCTGCTACACAAGTCACTGTAACACAAAAGTTCACAGCTACACATGACCCAGTGACTAAGGGTCACCGCACAACACACAGATTGACCTCTGCTCGTATTACAGCAGCACAGAGTCCAGCTGTTACCGTGAAAGCCACGCCTTTTAATCTAAGAACCACCACATCTTCTCATTCAGGAACCCTTCCTGCAGGTGAGTTGACTCTGATCTGGTTCCTGAGTATGGATCTAATGTGCTATGGTGGAAATTTCAACTTGACCAGGATCTCAAAATTAAATAGTCTGTGATTGATTGTAACCTGTGTTTTTTCATACTAATGTTCTGGACTTTCTTCAGAGGCAGACTTGGGTTGTGCTAGGGCAATCTTTAAAAAAGAAATGTTTTGCTATAATACAGAAAAAGTTGTGGCCCCATAAAAAATAATGCTAAATTAAGGTTGGTAAAGAAATTCTGTTTTCTGTGTTAGCTTTAGGGAGTCCTTGAATTCTTCAAGACCCTTCAAAGGACCAAGTATGTATCCTCCTTAAGGTTGAGTGCTGGGTCTGGTTGGTTGAGAGATATCCATCCCTCAAGTATGCCAAAGGATCTCTCCACATGCCCAAGTTGCTAATTTGGTAAAACATCTTAATGGTGTCTTCTAAGTAATTGAGAACATAGAGTTCTTTGAAATAGCTCAAATTAACACAGGGCTATTTAAATAAAAGGTTGTTTTATAAAAGTGGAATAAAATATGCCACAGACTTCAGAAATACCTATTGAGCAAATAAGTGAACCACCTTTTACTAATTCATGTGCTTCAGTCCACCAGGATGTCGTCTTGTCTCACAACTTGCCTAATATATATATAGCCCTTTTTATAGACATTCTTGTTCTCCGACAGAGATACCGTATTTATTTATTTATTTATTTATTTATTTATTTACTTACTTACTTACTTACTTACTCACTTATTTATTATCTATTTATTTGTTCCTTGGAAAAGCTCAATAGAACTGAGCCAGGAAATAATTTTTTAAAAATCATTTTAACATTTTCATTGAACTCAACACACATACAGAAAACTGCATAAAACATACCATATTTCCCCATGTATAAGATGCACCCTTTTTCGAAAAATCTGGGGGTCTAAAAACTGGGTGTGTCTTACACAGTGGTCATATGAGCACAAAAACAAGCACGTAAAAAGCAGGAAATGCAAGTAAAAAAAATCTACAACTACTGTATAAGGCACACCCAGTTTTTAGACCCCAAATTTATTGATAAAGGGTGCGTCGTATACATGAGGAAATACGGTACATGCTTGGCTCAATAACTTTTTTTTTAAAGATTTTTTTAGGGAATTGGGGGAGGGAAACAGTGCTGGGGAATTGGGGAGGGGAACAGCCAAGTTGTTGTCCTTCAATCTTAGTTGTGGAGGGCACAGCAAGCTCAGCTCCAACTCCAGTTGTGCTGCTCAGCTCAAGGTGCTGTGTTCAATTAGTTGCGGGTGGGCATAGCCACCATCCCATGTAGGAGTTGAACTGGTAGCCTCGTTGTTAAGCACACATGCTCTATCCACTGAGCCATCTGGTTGGCAGCTCAGCTCAAGGTGCTGAGTTCAGTCTTAGTTGCTGGTGGGTGTAGCCACCATCCCATGCAGGAGTCGAACCAACAGCCTTGTTGTTAAGCGCGCACACTGTATCCCCTGAGCCACCCAGGCGGCGGCTCAGCTCAATGTGCTTAGTTCAATCTTTTAGTTGCGGGCAGGCATAGCCCACCACCTCGAATAGGCAACCTTGTTGTTAGGAGCACGTGCTCTCACCAGCTGAGCCATCCTGCCACCTGTTGGCAGCTCAGAGGCAGCTCAGCTCGGGCGCAGCCCACTGGCCCATGTGGGAGTTGAACCGGTGACCCTGTTGCTCAGAGCTTGCATTCTTAAGCAAGCTCTTAACCAAATGAGCCACTCTGCTGGCCCCCTCAATAACTTTTCTAAAACAAGTATTTGTGTAACCACTACAAATGTCGAGAAATAGAACATTAGTAGCCTCTCAGATTTGCCCCCTCGCTTTGTAGATGTTCTGTTCATCCTCTGACTTCTCAATCCGGTAAGACTGTGGCTTTCCGCTCACACACCACATGGCCTAGGGATTTCCCTCAGCTGCAATATGAGTATATGGAACACCTCATTCCATGCAGTTCTCTCTCTCGACTTTGATCAACTGCCTGCACTTATTAGTTTGTTCTTCAGGGCCTTCAAACCATTGTTACTGTTGTTTTTCAATATTTTGTCCAGATTTGCTATGTTGAAGTCTATTTTGCCATTACTCAGATA